AATTTTTAAATAATCAATTAGTTTTTCAAATATATATTAAATAATTATAAATAAAAAATATATCAAATTAAAATTAAAAAAATATTTTTAAATTATATATATTATATAAATTATAAATATAAAGTTAAAAAAATTATATTTAAAATTATAACCTTAAAAATTATAGTTAAAAAAATTATATAATTGTATATAAGAAGAAATAATATTTTGATGTAAAATTATATATATATATATATATATATAATTTTACATCAAAATATTATTTCTTCTTATATACAATTATATAATTTTTTTAACTATAATTTCTAAGGTTATAATCTTAAATATAATCTTTTTAACTTTATATTTATAATTTATATAATATATATAATTTAAAAATAATTTTTTTAATTTTAATTTGATATATTTTTTTATTTATAATTATTTAATATGTATTTGAAAAACTAATTGATTATTTAAAAATTAATCAATTATTTAAAAAAATAACCTAGTTCTCAGTATGAAAAACTAATCAATTACTTTTTGAAATAATCGATCAGTTTTAATCGTAATAGCGGTTAACGTGGAACCGCTATCATACAATCACTTATAAGAGCCGTTAAACTGGAACCGCTATCATAAAGTCACTTTTAAGAGCTGTTAAACTAGAACCGCTATCATATATATTTTGCATAAATTAGAATAATAATTATCAACTTGAAAATAATTTATATTTAATATATATATATATATATATATATTCTAAAATATAATTTATTTTAATTTCTATAATATATATATAAATGAAAATAAGTTATATTTTGGAATATATATTTTATATTATAGTAATTAATATAAATTATATTTTAGAATATATATATATATATATATATATATATAATTTTACATCAAAAGATTATTTCTTCTTATATACATATAATTTTTAAGATTTTTATTATCCTCCTAATTTATTATTAATTTCTAAAAAAATTATAATATCAAATAAATCAAAAAATTAAAAAAAGTTTAATCATACAAATAAATTTAAATATAATATTTAATAATATATTTTAAAAATATTATTTTACTACTTTCAACAATAAATCTAAATATATTATTAATTTTAGAAATATATAAATCTTTTTAAATAACTAATTTAAAACTATAAATGTTAAATAAAATATTATAACATATTTTATATATATATATATATATATATATATATATATATTAGTTAGTTTTTTTTTAACAAAATAAAAAGAAAACTATTCAGAATTCGGTTGTCGAAAAATTGAATTCTAAATTGTTTGGAAAAATTATAAAATACAATTACGTTTAGGTTTCATATTCGAAAAATCGAATTCTCAACTTAACAAAAAACTTTGCTATCTAAATAAATAAAACCATTATGATATCTGAGTAATTAAAAAGCGAATAAGGGTTACGTTAGACAAAATTTCACAAACTCCTACAATAAAGCTACAAAATCAGATTTTCTTCGGCAGGTTCAATCCATTAACACTTGAAATAACTAGCCACAGTTATACTGTACAAAAAGATGACTACAATTAGATTAGGAATTTTTTAAATAACACAAATGATTTTTTTCAAAAATTTTGTTAAAGGATTTTTTAGATGTATGTATTTGAAAAAAATTATACGGGGATAGTGACAGGTAGAAATATTTGCATAGGAATTTTTGAGGTATAAAATTCCATCTCACGACAATAAATTGCCGTAAAAGTGAACCAATACCTACTCCAAGCAATTGAAACGAAAATATAATTTGTTTATCACTGTTTTTCAAATAAATGTTTTTACATAAATCTATGATTGAAATTCATTTCAAATATTTCAATATTTTAAGTATTTAAAAATGAACTTATCACAGTCATGTCTACCCAACTTTAAAACTAGCAAAATGTTTTGCTTAGTTTAAAAAGAAAAGGGAAATAAAAAAAAAGTCAGATGATTTTTTAAAATTATTTAATAAGAAAAAAATCTTAAAACTTAAATATAAATGATATAAATATTTCAAAAAATAAGTAAAAAAAATAAAAATATTTTAGTCATTTTATAAAATAACGAGTTATTTATGTAGCTCATATTATCAATCTTTATTTCTATTAAATAATCCAAACAAGATAAACAGATTTAATATGTGTTTTCTATCCTTTCAAGTTGTTTCTTCTTCAATCACGTGAACCAAACAATGTTCAATGATTCCTTGTTTATAACTAGGGATGACACTGAAGAAAGTCTAGTCAAGTAGTTGCTTGAAAAGCATTTCAATCATGAACATTTGCACTGAGCTTCAAAACCAAAACTTCCTTTTTCACTTTTTTATTATGAACATTTTGCACTTCAAGACTTGCACTTGCAAAATTGTTACTTTGCCTCTAAACTTTGAAGCCAAATCATCATCGTACGTGCATTTAATCCATTACAATGGTTTGTGTACTTTCCCTTTAGCTTCTAGCCATGTCCAGGATTTTTCCCAGGAATATGGGATATTCCTGACCGTTCAATGCTTTGGAAATTTTCAAACCAGTTTGCTATGTACAAGTTATAGATGCTTGTGTTTGTGATTCTGCAGAAGGTGTAGTAGTCCTTGTAACATGTTTCTAAGTTTACTGGTTATGATGGGGACAAAAAATGCTAGTCTTGGAACTTGGTATTAGAGTATTGAACAGGTTGTGTCTGAATGAGGCAGTAGCAGTACTCTCGAGTCTCACGGCACTGTTTCCTCCCCACAATGAAAAGCATTACCTCAACACACTTTAACCATTACTGCTATTTTCCTATGCCTTTTCCTTTGGGCAACTGTCTCAATTATTTGTACAAAAGAAAAGAAAACTAGCCAGTCTTTCTTTTCATCTTTCGTTTATGACTATGAGTAAAACCTGATAAAGCTTGATACGTTTTGCCATTAATCTTATAGGAAAAGTGGAAAACTAAACTTTTGACCAAGAGTCAGTAGGAAAATTGTGCAGAAAACCAGTTAGAGAGAGTTTTTAATTAAAGGAAAACTTTTATTTTTTTGAGAATATGAAAGAGAAAGCATAATTTCATGTGTATCTTCAAATAAATAATACTTAATCAAAGATTTAAGTTAAAGTAAGTCATTAAAAAACTTCTGAAAGCTCTTACATCTTATGTGTTATTGCCCTAAATTTGACTTATAAACATATATACATGATTATTGCACCTCAATTCAAGATTATCATCAAGCATAATGAGACCGAACAAGTCTTTTAACTACTTCATCATCTCCTTTACTATAAGTATAATAATGTTACTTTTAGAGAGAGATATGTATACATATCCATACAAACTAGCTTATATACACATATACTTGACTGAGTCTGTGTACAAAAAGATTTATATTTTTCATTGGTGTGAACCCAAAGTTTTTCAACTTGTAATTAATTTCCCTGGCGTGAACCATGGTCACGGCCACAGACACTGGACCACGCTATTCTCAGCTTCCCACACTGGAAACTGTTGAGAGATTCGCTGCCTCAGTAATAATTAAAATGTTTCTTGCTTTGGAGCAAGCAAAATCCAAAGCCTGCAACATCTTATTCATATTTTTGGTCATGCCAAGAGTGGCTCGGTTTCCAGCACAAACAGTGCCCCATGAACTAAATTAGTAGACCTATCAAGAAGTTCATTCGTGCATGCATGATTGTTAAGCTCAATTAGCTTCACAATTGAGACAATCTTGCCTGCATATATTATGCAACTAAATACGTGACCACTCTTGGATGTGCAATAGTTTCAGATGCAGAAATTGACATTTGACAATTCATGTACAAAGCCATGTCCAATCACTTTCAAATTTTATTATTTATTAGTGAGTATATCAATCTTTGATAAAGAAATTCACTTGAAAGTGATTCATGCTGTGCCAAATCTTTTTTCAATTTAATGTTCTGCATCAACTGAATCGATTAGCCATGCCATATCATATCATGCATGCATTTCATCCAAACTATGGGGACAAAATTGTTCCCTGAAACATACGACAAATATAGGTTCTCTGGCTTTTAGGATTTATGGACAAACAATGTCTGAAAAGCTTATGGGCTATGGCATTGTCACGCGATATTTATTAGTTGCTTTTGTTTAACTCAAATTATTTTAATTTTTTCGAAAAATAAAAAGTCAAATAAAGTGTGTTACCTGTCCACCGGGGCAAAAGCTCACCCTCGTGAAAGCCATTCATGTTTTTGTTTGAGTTTATTTTTTGTTTTTCTTTATTAATTATGGCCTCTCAAATTATAGCATAGCTTTGTTCCTGATTCACAGATGAATGTTAGCTTTTAGAGACATACAATTGAATTGTGTATGCAACTAGTAATTTATCTCTTTTGTAATTGATAATTTATATTATAATTTAAAAATTTATGAGATATTTAGTTTTCTCTTCGTAGATTCTTCGACACAAACACCAAAAATGTAATCAATTCTTGGGATAATAAAAAAAAGAACTCTACTAGACAAACAACAAAACTTGGTTCTTATACAAAATTGCTCTAATTAATTTGGTAATTCAAATATTGTGTTCCTTAAAAAAAAAGTTTTCGTCAATAAAATTTTCTTAAGAGCAACAAAAATAATAATATAACATTTCATATTATTAACATATTTAATAAAAAATGGATTTATTTCTTAATTGTTGAATTAGCAAGCATGCCAAAGCGGTGTCTGCCCCAATCACTTTCCAACTGCACTCGGTTTGAATGTCGAAACTCGAAATAATTCACTCCTGCTTCAAACCAGCGCGTGCCTTCACTCTCTCCACCCTTTCAAATTCGCTTTCACACCTTCAAATCCCTCACAAAGGAAGAAGAAGAAAAAACAAAAAAAGCAAATGAAACATATAAAAAAAAAAACACTTTGGCACCATATAAAAAACCTGTTCCTTTACTGTGTCCTCGTTTCCCTTCTCTTTCTTCCTCTCCCTTGTACAAAAGCTGTTTCCTTTGGCACAAAACCAACCTACATTCGCCATTCCCATGCAGAAACTCCATCTGGGTCATCCCCATTCTCCGTCAATGGATACCACACCCTCTTCCACACCTTTCCGAGACCTTCCGGAAGCTTCTCCGAAGGCTTCTAAAAAGACAACACTCACCTCCTTCATGACAGCCCCCTCCTTCAAAGAGGACACCTACTTCGTCTCCCACCTCAAACCGTCCGAGAGAAAGTCCCTCCAAGACCTCAGGGACAAACTCCTCGCCTCCTCGGACTCCTCGAACCCCCCTTCGATGTGGGGCGTGCCACTGCTAGACGGCGGCGACAGAGGCGACATGCTGCTCCTGAAGTTCCTCCGAGCGAGGGACTTCAGGGTACACGACGCCCTCAACATGCTCCTCAAGTGCCTCGCGTGGAGGACCGAGTTCGGAGCTGACAACGTCGTGGAGGAGGAGCTGGGGTTCAAGGAGCTCGAAGGGGTTGTGGCGTACACTCATTCGTACGATAGAGAGGGGCACCCTGTGTGCTACAATGCCTATGGGGTGTTCAAGGATAAGGAGATGTATGAGAGGGTGTTCGGGGATGATGAGAAGCTGAAGAGGTTCTTAAGGTGGAGGATTCAGGTTCTGGAGAGAGGGGTGAAGATGCTTCACTTCAAGCCTGGTGGGGTCAACTCGCTCATTCAGGTCACTGACCTTAAGGACATGCCCAAGAGAGAACTCAGGGTCGCTTCAAACCAGATACTCTCTCTCTTCCAAGATAACTATCCTGAAATGGTAGCTCGCAAGGTATCTTGTTATGTATTTGGTTGGTTTTAGATGGAAATCCAGAAGCATTAGTAAACTAACCAACACTTGATGGTTGGAGTGGTTTTGATTTTTTCAAGCAAGTTCTTACGTTTGAGTGTTGGCTAAAAAATGTGATTGAAAATGGAGACTTTGTTAAAGGTAGCTAATGAGGTCTCTTAAAACTAGATATTAAGGAAGGAAGCCAGTAGTTATTGAAGAAGTTAGTGGGTAATTCATTTTTATAACATGCAAACAAAGAATAGAATAAATGAAAATTTTATGTAGAAAACTTCCGATTAGATAAACTAAAAGTTCATGATTTTAAAAATTGGATCATGAATGCAATTTTGGCCAATGTCAAAGGTTATATAACATCTGTTATCACAATTGTGACTGCATGAGTTGCATTTCTTCGAATTGTTAAGGAACAGGATGAAACTGCTATTGCAATTTAAATTCTTAAAAAATAAAGAACTTATATGCATTAAGTTCTGTAGAATTTTTTTTTTTAAAGTTAGTTTAAATTTAATACAGCACTTTGGCTCATTTTATGTGTGCATAACAGGTCATTTGCTTTGCTCGTTATCTTTGTCATGTCATCTACACCTTTTGCTTTTGGTATGATGGGAAATTCACTACTTTCTTTATTGTCAAACTTTCTTGATTTCAGATTTTCATCAATGTACCATGGTACTTCAGCGTGTTGTATTCAATGTTCAGTCCGTTTCTGACCCAAAGGACTAAGAGCAAGTTTGTGATCTCTAAGGAGGGAAATGCTGCAGACACACTCTACAAGTTAGTTCTATTAATGGCTCACTATTTTGTATATTCCCTTGTGCACAAGTAAATTTATTTTTAAAAGTTCGATACGGGAATCACTTCTTTCTTTTAATTTATCTATAAAAAGATTTCAAATTAACTTCCCTATCTTCCTTACAATTTTGTCTCGAGTTTAATTATATTCGTTATTTTTTATTTTGATTTGAAGTTGTGTTTCCTTGGTATTTTGTGTTACACCACTCTTGTATCAAACAAAACACTTCTTACCCCACAATATCTCTTGGTTTTGTATTTTAAGCTGGGGTTATTGTCTTTTCTTCAGATTTATAAGGCCCGAGAATATTCCTGTTCGGTATGGTGGATTGAGTCGACCCAGCGATTTGGAGAATGGTCCCCCAAAACCTGCTTCCGAGTTCACAGTTAAAGGGGGAGAGAAAGTGAACATACAAATAGAAGGAATTGAGGTAACAATTGTCTAATTTTCCTTCCCTTCATTTACCCTTATGAGAATAATCAAGCTTTCTTCATTTTGGTTTTGAATTTTCAAGTTAAAACATTGAATTTAATTAAAATGCATTAACATTACAAAGATGTTTCACACTGCCATTCATCATAGATTGTAATTTAATGTAATGGAATTATAATATAATGTATAGTAAAATTATTTTTATAATGTTAAAGATTAAAGTAGTTCATCTAATCTTAAAACCATCGTATATAAAAAAATTTGTTCACTTTCATTGATCTTAAGCTGTGATTGGAAGACATTTCTGTGTATTATGATGGTTGAACTCCTTAAATGTATATGTTTTGGTACATATGGAAAAGATTAAAGATTTGTTGTTAATTTCATGTTTCTGGCTGATAGAGTGGTGCAAGTATCACATGGGATATTGTGGTGGGAGGCTGGGACTTGGAATATAGTGCTGAGTTTGTCCCAAATGCACAAGGTAGCTACACCTTAGCAGTTGATAAGGCAAGGAAGATTGAGGCCACAGAAGAAGCAATCCACAACTCTTTCACATCAAAAGAGGCTGGCAAAATGATACTCTCTGTTGATAACTCTGCCTCAAGGAAGAAAAAAGTTGCAGCTTATCGCTATTTTGTGCGGAAATGCAACAACACACCATCTTCAGAGCTTCAATTAAGCCCCAAATAATTGTTCCAACTACATATAAATATGATCTTTTGCTTATGTAGTTCTAAGTTTTTAACTCTCTTGGGTAATGATTCTGAACTTGTTTGAGCCAAGTTAAAATTGGTACTTAGTAGTGTTGTGTTAGTATAATGTAAAAAAAATGGGAACAAACGTGGTGGAACATGATGGTTTGGTACATAAGAAAAAGCAAGTGGTCTTGCTTATACCATTTTACTATTTGGTCGTGATTGTGATGACTTTTGTCAGAGGTATTGACTTTTGGTAGCATGTGTGTGTGGAAAGTACTTTAGTTTTGTTCACAGAAGTGAATTGAGTGTTACCTGCTATGGATGGATTTGATTTGATATGATGTATGGTCCATGCATGATGAAGGGTGATGATAGACCAATTAAGAGTTCACGGGCTCTAGATGTTGAAATTGAATGGTGCAGCATCTTTCATTGTCTAATGCATTGATGGTGATGTCTGCATTCTGCAATATCAAAACTAAAAAATTTATCAATCTCTATTACACGAAATAAGTTTTTATTTACTCTTTTGGTAGCATTGAATTAAGATTGTAATTTTTAAATAGTATTTCATTTCTAATGATTTCACGATTCTCTATTATTGTAAAATATCGAAGAATATTTTAAATATTTTGCATCCACTATACTCTGTCAAAGGTAAATGTTTTCTGGAATTGTTTCAGAAAAAAATTTGTAGCAAGTACCCCACATGGGGACTGCTTTTCCAGAAGCACTATGAATTAAGTCTTTTTTCAAATATAAGTCTTTTAAGATAACTTTGTTGAAACATTATTTACAAACAATAAAAAGCATAATAGAACTTTTATTAAACGATATTCCAATTAACATGAATGAGCTATATTTCAAACGGTTCTGTCATTTCTGAGGGACTAGATATTGCTATTTTTCAGACAAGTAATATTTTGGCTTGTTATTTTTACAGCATTTTTTTTTTTAATTTTCACTGACACATTAGTGATCTCATAGTATGTATTATAATCTGTTTAAAAAAACGAGTGAAAATGTGATTATTATTCTGAACAATAAGAGAACGAGTCATGGACTGTACGATTTTAGGAAGCAAAAAACCAACAGAACATTGAATGGAATTGAATGTTGATTTGATGATTGAATTATTTATGCTGTGGTGCTGCTGAGAAGTCCTTGTTTGAAGGGTTAAGATGTTGAATTTTGCGTCTTATAGTAAGAAGAATGGTAGAAGATAGTGCGTAGGTTTATTGAATTACTGTGTTTAGAAGAATATTTCTATATTACGAAACTGTAGCAGAAGTTCCTTCTTCAGATTTATACATATGAGGATTCCATTTGAGCATGCCTTGTTCGTTGTATACGTATAATTTGTCATATTAGGTTTTTCTCATTTACTTAAATATATAGGATGTTTTCCTATATTTTCTCAATTGTTTCGTTCTTTATCTTATTATTATTTTTTATCTTTCATATGATCGTTTAGGTTTTATCTTTATAATTTTTTTATTATAAATGCAGAGATAATCTATATATATGCCATAGTCATAAATAATATTTATATAAGTTTAACAAAGTCATTATAACCATAAAAATTTAAAAAAATTATATAAATAATATTTTTATTACTTTCTAAAGTAAAATGTGGTTAAACTCAACTCACCAAGAGATAAAAGGTGATTTAGGAAGGTAAGTATAAGGTTTTATGTGACAGGAAGCTGACTTGTCAAAAAAATTAATAAATATTGACTTGTTAATAAATGAATAAATAAATAATTTTTAATAATAATGATTATTTGACGAGAACAACATATATTTGTTTATTTACCAAAAACAATAACAAAGAGTTGAGAAAACTAAATCTCTAATCAAATTTTAAATAAATATTTTCTTATTTCAATATAAGTAATAATAATTGATTGTAACATCCTAATATAATTATTAAAAAATTATTTATTATTTTAGATTAAATTGATTTCAAAATTTTGAAATAATTATTAGAAAATCAAGTTGAATAATATCTTTTTAGGGTTAAACACATTTTTCTCTTCCATAAACACATATTTCAATCTTATTCTGTCATTGAATCTTCTTTACCACTAACATCTTATATCAACAATAAATTACATTAATAGTCTTTCACATTTTATAATTTTTTATATTTTCTCGAGATTTATAACATATTTTCTTAAAAAAAATGCAGTGTATTATTTTTAAATTTTCATTAATATAATATAGTCTCAGTATAATATTGTTTAAACACGCTATAATTGATTTTTTCTATATATATTAATTTACTCTAATATTAATCTTAAATTTTAAAAAAATTAAATATATAATCTCTGAAAGTTATTCACCCAAGCACGCTATAATTGAAGTGATTAACAATCTTCCTTCACTAAAATCACCTCGTAACTTTACTAAATTGTTTATGAAATATATTAAAATAAATATTTTAAGAATTCTTAATTTTTATAAAATAACAATAATACTTAAAAATAAATTTATAAATAATATTTATATGTTAAAATATAAAAATTGTTTTCTAGAGTAAAATTATTAGATAATCAATATTTTCATTATATATAGTTGGTTTAAATAGTGTATTTATCAAATATAAAATATAATTTAGATAGATGCAACCCAATTACACTCTATTTTAAAAGAAACCTTTCCTTATTAAACAAATTATAACTTCTCTTTAATAATATATTTTGGAACATAAAAATTCAGCCCACATTTATTCTTATGAATACAATTTAGCATATACTTATTTATTATACATAATTTTTCTGAGAATTTTTTTACTGAATTTAGCATCAGAATACTTACAGATACTTTTCACAGTTCCACTTTCACCATAGCTTATGCAGTTCACACTCAACACCAACAGAGTCCAGATTCTATATCTCATTCACTCTGGAAAAATCGAGATAACAGGAATCACAAACCTGTTTTTCCTTTTTAATTTTGCAAAAATGAGTAGTGATATTATAAAATTCTCGCCTCGAGTAATGTTCATATTCCAATAATATAATATCACATATTTATCCACTTTACTAGCTTCAAACATGTTCGAATTTACCTTGATCTGCACCAAATTCCCTCGTTTCAACAAAATATGATCTCACTTAACGATAATATTTTTATGCTATGTTGTTTTTTTCTCCGTTAAATCCGTATTGGATATAGTGATCACATTTAATACACTTTAGATTTGTAATTTAAAATAAACATAACTAAACAAAAATCGGTTTAATGTAATTTTTCTTGCCCAAGGATAGTGTATTTCTTTTAGATTTCAAATTTTACTCATTTATCTTTCATATAATTCCATAATCTTGTGAAAAACTAGAATGAAAAAAAAAAAACATGTTTTTAACATTCTTTTCACAACACCATAATGATAAAAAAAAAACACTAAAAATAGGATAATGACTTTTAAAACATTAATAAACTATAAAAGCTTAGAGCAAAGAAAAGACACTTATCCATCATTGTTGTTCGGTTGCCCAACCATGTGTCAACGAAGAGAAACAAAGAGAGAAAGGACGTAGGAAACGTGTAGAAGAGCGAGGCTATTGATTGTAGAAAAGAACACGCAGCCTCAAGTGTTGTGAACGTGTCTTGCATGCAAATTGGTCATATTATTTGTCCCCCATCTCCTACATCATCGGATACTTAGAGTCGCTTGTATGATAATAACATGTGACAAGAAACAAACACCGTTTTTATTAGCAAACATTGATTGAAAGATGGCAAAAGTTGTTAAGCCACATGAACCTAAGACACAGTCATTTACCCTTTTGAGTGGTCATACCATACCAGCTGTTGGATTGGGGACATGGAAGTCTGGTTCAGAGGCCGTCAATTCTGTGTTCACTGCCATTGTTGAGGTAATTTACATTGATTAGAGAATACAGCTTTTGGATAAAGGGGATCTATTAATGATGTTATTTGAATTAAAAAAGGCTTGTTTAGCATATGAAAGTATTCATTAAGGTCATACTTTGTGTTGAAATCGATGGAAAAAAAAAACGAAGATATGAAGCCACACATTTGGGAACCGCCTTTAGAAGAAGCTCCAGAAGAAACCAAATGCGAGATTTAACCAATTTAGATAATATCCAAGTCTTTATTAGAAGGAAAAAAAACATGGCACCAAGTGTATTTTTCTATGAATAATGTTGGTATTTCCTTGGTTTAAGGAACAATATGGCCAGAAAAATTCAATAAATCTGGTTAATCTAACCTGATTTCTGATCGAGATATTTCACATGGTGAACATCATATCTCCTACTCATATTAATCAATAGTAAAATAGATAGATATGCTGCACTTTTAATATTCTATAAAAAAACAGATTTTTGTGGAACAACTTTAGTGTTGCTAATTCCAAGAACAAAATTGCAGATTTTGAGAGCATCTCTTAACTTCAATACTCCCTTAATGGTTTTCACATCTCTTTGAGGATCTCGAATTTTCTCACTTTATTCTACTCGGATAAACGCTCCTTTTACCCCACATTTAGAAGTTCAAAAAGGCACCAAAAAGACAATTTATTTTTGAAAGATTAAAAACAACTATTTTTCCATTAGGGCGTATTTAAAACATATTAACCAGAAAACAAAACAAAAATTCAAGTTAGTATTTTGCCATTTTGTGGAGCTGCGTCTCACATGATCTGACTTTGGCTGCAGGCTGGTTACAGACACATAGACACTGCTGCACAGTATGGAGTTGAAGAAGGAGTATGATTGTGTTTCCTAATAGTTATTTTGATTTAGATCACCATTTTAGCATTCCTACTTGTCCTAAATTATATATCAGCATACAGGTTGGACAAGCACTCCAAGCAGCCATGAAAGCAGGAGTGGAAAGGAAGGATCTATTTGTCACCTCAAAACTATGGTAATGTACTCAAATTGATGCAGGTCATGTTAACACAAACTCTTTGGTTCGTCATGCTAAATTCATTTGAATAATGTTGTTTCAACATTTTAAAGAAACTCTCATGGTGAATTTTTATACCTACTAGGTGCACTGACTTGACCCCTGAAAGGGTTAGACCTGCTCTCAACAATACCCTTCAAGAGCTCCAACTTGACTACCTTGATCTTTACTTGGTAATGAGCTTCTATCGTGCTTAAAATCCATCTATATTTTATTTTACCTTTTTAATCCATTCATAGGCATGTGGTTTGATATGTATAATAGAAGACAGAGAGACTCTAATGTGTAAAATGCAGATTCATTGGCCATTTCGATTGAAAGATGGGGCCAGTAGACCCCCGAAAGCAGGAGAAGTTTTAGAGTTTGACATGGAAGGGGTGTGGAGAGAAATGGAGAAGCTTGTGGAGGAAAAGCTTGTGAGAGACATTGGAATCTGCAATTTCACTCTAGCAAAGCTTGAAAAGCTGCTGAGCATTGCTCGGATAGTGCCTTCTGTCTGCCAGGTGAAATCATATATCTACAAATATTTTTTGTTACTTTAATTTCTGTTATCTTAGAAGGAACAATGAGCAATCTCAAAGGTTGAGTATTGGATAAGGGTACACCACCACTACTTGTTTTTCTAAACTTGTATTTGCTATTTTGTTATAGATGGAAATGCATCCTGGATGGAGAAATGATAAGATGCTTGCGGCTTGCAAGAAGAACTCCATCCATGTTACTGTAATTAACACATTGTTCGTTTAATTTTGTTCATTTTGGTTTTGATTTTTATGACAAAGGGTCATGATTGAAATGCAAAAATTTGACTATAGGCATACTCTCCACTGGGCTCATCACAGGGTGGGAGGGATCTGATCAGTAATCCAACGGTTGAGAGGATAGCCAATAAGATGAACAAGAACCCAGGGACGGTGTTGGTGAAATGGGCCATCATGAGAGGGACAAGTGTCATCCCTAAATCAGTCAAGCCAGATAGGATCACGGAGAATGTCAGTGTCTTCAATTGGGAACTTCCAGAAAAAGACTTTAAGACCCTTAGCAGATTTCAGGATCAGGTAGGCACTCAACATTGGTTATTCACATTATTTGCTCGCTCATATTTAGTCTTGTCCTCGAATTTTTGTCAGATCCAGAAATTGTTATTGACTATTATTAGATGTGACTGATCCCCAGCACTTGATTTTAACACATTTCATGTTGATTCTTCAGACACGTTAAAATATCATGAATTTAGATAGACTTTCACATGTTTCCTTCTACTTGTGGGTCTAGAATTGATTTTAAATTGAACAATTTTAGGTAATTTTTACAATTTATACCAAATTCTACTATTAACTGCCTTTATAAATAAAAACATCTAAACACAAGTCATATCGCTTCAAACTCCATTTTTAATCAAAATATCCAAACTCATACAAACACAGTTCATTCTTTTTAGGGAATAGAACTACACCATTACTAGTAGTGATACATGGATTTGAATTTGCAAGTATTGTCTATCAGGCAAGGATTAAAATCTTTAATGTGAGTAGAGATCTACCTACTTCATAATGTAATTAATTAACTTCAAATTAAGGTAGAGAAATTCTTATCTTTTTACTTCACACATTCATTCACTCTAGACCTTTCTTTTGGTCCCTGAACTCATGATAACTGTGCTTCTTTCCTGGGTTAATGATACATTACAGGGGAGAGTTCTGGACGGTGAAGAACTCTTTGTGAACAAGAGCGATGGTCCATTCAGGAGTGCGGCTGATATTTGGGACCATGAAGATTAGTCCACACTTGCACCTAGCCTCTTTGTTTGTTTCTCTCTTTTCCAAGGCACTATGTAGCATTAGATTTAATGTAATAGTGGTTCTTATAAAGGTTTCAGGTTCAGGTCATTCACATACGAATAGGGGCATGCACTCTATATGCAGATTTCTTATCCATGAAACGTTATAATTACTTTACTATTAGTTTATAAAGATTATAGCATCAACTATGATTCTGATCGTATAAACAAAGTTGGGAGTAGTGAGTGTTTTGGAAGCTTGAGAATTATCTGATATCCCCATGTTGTGATAAACTACTGGAAAATTTTGCTTTCACTGAAGTCAACGAGTAAGGTGGAGATTAGCAGTCCCAAGAAAATTTCAATTATTCTGTATTTATCTTTTTAACCTTTACGATAAAATCCTTAGGATTTTACAAAGTAACTTGCTTTTTCTCATGGGAAATGTGTTTCTGTATGCATTTTTTTAGGTGATCTGTGTTCAGTGAAGGATGATGCCAATTTATGTTCAGACATAGCTTGCTTTTTATGTGATTGGTTCCACTGGAAGTTTTTTGAGTCTAAAATCATTATGTTAGTGGACAAAATTTATAAGCAAAAGCTTAAGACTTTCGTGAAACAACTACAACCAACAAGGATAGTCACTGATGCACTAACCAAGGGCATTAGACACTTCCAGTGCAAGAAATGAAGCTAAGGTGTTCCCATGACTCATTATTATACGTATAAAAGAAGGAGGCACGGGTCCAATTGTTCCTAGTGGTAGAAAATATGAAAGTATAACAAAATAATGAATGCACGGTCTAAAGTTCTGATTCTGAAAAGTGCCAAATTATATATAAGAGAGGAATGTTTAAGCTAACGTTTGCTTTAGATGGTCAAAAGCAATAATTTAAAGTCGTCATTGGGCATGCCATACAAAAGGAATCAACATACCTGAATTTCCATAACAACAAAATAAAAAAATGAAGTCCTCAGTTTTTTCTTGAACTCTTGTAACCAAAAAAAATCATGGAACTAGTCACACAATGAGCTAAAATCAATCTATAGGCCATTTTGCAGATATTAAGATCACTGCCATAATGTGGCTAAGACAGCTGCCATTTGAGTTTATACGTTAGAAGTCACTCTTCACAATACAAAATCAATGAATAAAACGGATAAGACAAATCTTGCCACTGATGACAGTCATTATGGTATATAACTACTAGTTGGTCACCCTGGCAATGTTTTGAGAAGGCACAGGCATTACATCTTGTGGTAGATATGCAGTTTGGTATCTTCTTAAACACCGACTGAAATGAACATGTTTAAACATAATTTTCATATAAATCTCCTCATTAAATTTTCACATTCATTTTAAGGGATGCACATGATCCTAAAATATTCAACCCCCCTCCCTTCTTTTCCTCCTAAACATACAACATAAAGTTCAATTTGACCGCTTTTAACTGCTTTTAAGGCCCTTCATTGGTGTGCTTCAACGCGGTGAATAGTACTTGGTCGATTGGCGATTACTCATAGCCCTAGCAAGGCGTGGAAGTTTTGATATAGAGTTGGCTCTTGCAAACCCTCCGAGAGCTTTCCATTCTTCATCTATTTCCATTCCAACCTTGCCATCCACTGTATCCGTGTCTTCATTTCTACTAGAGCGATGCACGTGCTTGCTACGCGGTCTATTTTTTCTACTCATCTGGGACTGTGAATGGGATAGAACAGGTTGTTCATCCAGAAACAAGCAAATGGCAGCACAATCATCAACCCTGGAACCAGGATACTTGTATCTCCAGGCTCTTACAGCACGCTTTATTAACAACTTGGCTGCGATGGACCTCCTTGGTGCTGAAGCAACTATGCTTACTACTTCTTGGTTAGTGAGCACATCCCATATCTGTGTAGAAAACAGAAAATATAATTTTGGTCATTCAAATGGATGTTTGTAAAAGTAATTTTTTTTTTTTGGCGATATATCACTGCTAAAGTTTTTTGTAATGGTTTACACTATCAGAAAAATTTATTATCTGATGTTAACAATAGAGACCGATACTTAACTTTTATGTATGCTAAGGGACTAATATTTACAATTTTCTCTTGTAAGGATTAAAACTTCAGGTGAGGACAATAATAACAATCAACTGAACGGTTTAACCTATTTGCATGTGCATTTGGATTGGGATAATATATGAAGTGAGTGAAACAATATCCAGTAATATATAATGTCTAAGTTGATGAGATCAATTATACTAAAGCGACATTGTAATGTTACTTACCCCGTCAGTTGCCAAAACCACAAATTGATCTTGTGGGATAATTTTTCTGTAAAATACATCAGGAACTGAGATGAGGCCATAGTGTTTGAGGCAAAAGTCCCCGAAGGCTCTTGACATGGCTAGACCAGGGCAGTCATCATCAGGCATCCATATTCTGTACACATCTGGTTCTTCTTCTGCTGCAAACACTCTTCCTTCACAGTTAACTATTCTTGAGGTTTCGCCTGAGAGAAATTGAAGAAAAGATGGTTAAACTCAAGATTTTATGGTCTAGAAAGACTTGGGAATTGAGGCCAAAACCAAGACCTACTTGGAATTTCTGGTTTCAAGTCAACAGTGAGTTGAACAGGAATGAGTTGGCCCCTGTCCCTTGTGCAAAGAACTGCACGAGAATCACCCAAATTGCCAACTATCAGCTGGTCACCCTGAAATTTTAGGTGGGAAAGTGATGCACGTAGTTATTTCCATCACTCAAAAGTGTTTGACGAGTAGTGTTATTGTGAGCAATTAGTTATACCTGTTTAATTAAAGTCACAGCGGTGCAACCACTGCAATAGCTGTCAGTGTTAATTTCCCGAGCAAGGTACTCATCCATCTCATCAAAGGATTTCAGAAAGCATCCCTCCCATGATGCAAGGGACATGTTATGGTTACTGTCATCGTAGCCATCATCAAAACTGGCAGTTTCTGTTTCATTGGCATCATAATATTTTATTGTCTTCTGTTGCGAAATTTCGATCGCTGCAGACAGTTTTGAGGGTAGATTGTCACGAATAAATTGTGAAACCTTGTGGCCGAGAGGACCATGACCATCAAACACACCGCAAAAGATCACATCCTTTTCTCCAGTGAAGTCCTATTAATGTTCCATATCAAATATTAGTCCAAGCCACATGTTTTATCTATTAAAAGCATCATGCTATGATAAAGGCAATAAGATAGAGACATGGAGTAACTCAAAATTCTTTCATTATTAACCATAAAACCAAAGAAACTCAATCAAGTACTGAAATGACCATTAAACAAGAATCTTGGTTGCAATTCCCCAGATCGAAGGTAAAAACAATGCAATTTCAAAAGTCCTTGCAGGTTGCTTTTCAACCGTTTATCTTCTTCATAGATAATCTTCATATTTGACTAATTAAATAAAGTATCGTGAATGGTTGAAATTGAGTTACTCACAAATCATGGCAATTATGACACTGCCATTCAAGATTTACAAAAAAACATAGAAATTAAAGGTTAAAGCTATGAAGGACAAAGGCAGACAAGGATATAATTTTAATAAACTTCAAATCTGTATCTGGCCAGAGACAACGAATTTTCAGGTTTTTGGTTCAATAAAAAGAAAGGGGGAGAAGACACAGAACATGGGCAATAAAGTCATGTTGATAGGACATTTAAGGCAGAGAAAACCAAATTAATTACATGAAGAAACAAAGAATAAAGAGGAGCAAAAATGTTTGAACAAAAATAACCATAACTGAAAAAAACAGGTCATTGCTTATACAACAAACAACTTTCTGATGAAAATCTTATCCTTCAAATTCACCAAAAGTCGATGATTAATGAAATTAAACAAAAGCGCGTGACGAAAGAGACAACTAAAGTCCAGGTCACAGGAATTGATTGAAAACTTGAATGGCGAATGAAAAAAATAATCAACAGAACAAAAACCATCAAAATTGATGGAAATTAATCGAGAAAAATCATAATAAAAAATGAAAACAAATACTTGGAGAATCATACCTCCCAAACTGTCATTGCATCTTGGTTCACACCTTTCTGGCCCTGTTGGGTGTACATTGAAACAAACTTAGAGGATCCTCTTAACCTCACCAATGCTCCACCATGTTCATAAGCAATATCATTTTCATGATCATACTCATAATCTCTATCATCCACCTCACTTTCCACCTTCCCTCGAACCGAAACATCGTGGCTGCAACAGCCTCCCATGTTTGGAACCCAACCACAGCAATTTCTGTTGAAAATAACAAGGGCACCCCAGAAATATCCAGGGAATACCCAAACGATATTCAGGAGAAAAGAAGCAAGGGACTGAAGAAAAATGGATTTTTTTTGAAGAAAGATATGAAGGGTCAGAATTCAGTGCAAGGGAGAGGCGTCTAAAGGTGACGCAAAAATGCATAAAGAGAAGGCCAAAAATGCATGGAAGGAGTTGGAAAATATAAAAATGGAAGAAGGATAGGGAAAAGAGGTTGGCATGTTGAGACAAGGTTGAAACTTGAAGCTATGCATATTATTATTGTCTGCCTTTGTTTGTTGTCTGTTTTTTTTCCCGGTTGGCAAAAGTCAAAGTCTAAATTGAAGAAAAAAAAGAAAGAAAAGACTTTAATTAAAAATATTTTAGCCAAATAATAAATTTTCAATAGTTGAATTTTATAATAACTACATTTAAAATTACACTTTAAATAAATGTTTATTGAGTTTAATTTATATGAAACAATAATATAAATATCTGTATTAAAGTAATACTGTTTAAAAATAAATAATTTTGATGTGATTTGGAAAGAAATTGATAATTATTTATTAATCCAATGATACATATATAAAATATTTATTTTTAAAGAATTATGAAGCAATATTGCTTATATAAAGAGTCATTATTTAATGAGCAACACACTAGTGTAAAAAATGGCTTTTACGTCAGGTATTTAGGACTTTTTACGTCGTATTTAAGACTGACGTTAAAGCGGAGACGTAAATTTACGTCGGACCTTTAGCCTGACGTAAATTTACGTCAGTTATCAAGATCCGACGTAATTTTGCGTTGCATATACCACTAAACAGACGTAAAAACTTTTGGAAATTAAAAAAAAAACAGCAAATTTACGTCGCATATGGCAAATGCGACGTAAATTTACGTCGCATATACCAACATGCGACGTAAATTTACGTCGCATATACCAACATGCAACGTAAATTTGCTGTTTTTTTTTAAATTGGAAACCTGCAAATATACATTATAACCAGGACAGATCCAGGATGTTCAATTTTCTTTAGCTAGTAAATTAAAAATATAATATTATATAATTCAAACTACATAATAAAACAATATAATACAAACATACAAACTAAAAAATCTATTACAAACTAAAAGTTAATACAAACTAAGCTACCTAAACTACATAATACACACAATATAATATGAACAAGAACTTAAAAAATTATGTACTAGAATTGTTGAACAAAAAATTTTGCCCATTGTTCTCTAATTTGTGTAATATCATATTCTGGTAATGGAGATGAATCTTGAAATACTTGAAATATTAATTTGACTCTTGTAAACATGCAACATGAATAAAGTTAAATAAACTTAACTAATGTTAAAATCAATTACCTCCGTCCAAGAATCCATTATACCCGCACACACTATGGTTCTCATCCAATACATAACATAGTAACCACATTCAAACGAGTCTGTTTGCTTATTACACTTGAAATGATGAAAAAAACATAATGTTATTTTCAAAATTTAAATACAAACAATAATTATGGTATTCACTTATATAAATAAGTTTCTAACCTTAGGATAAATGAACTGCAAAGTCTTTGTTCTAGGTTTTCCACTTAGAACATTAGTTCCAGTACACGATTCTAAGTGAAAAAAGTCATATATTATTCAATATGTATTTACAATTTAAAAACATAATTAATGAATAAAAGATAAACTTACCCTTGTAATAAACTTTTCATTTCTTGACTCGGTTTCCGATGTAATGAACAAAACCACACCACAAGTGTAATCCCGGGTATGATTACAATTAACTGCCAATGGGACCTACATTGTATGACATAAAAATTAGTTACAAAAATATAAATTAAAATACAAATTAAAATACTAACCCTTCAATGTATGGAGCCAAATATATATGTCTTTTTGAGTCACTCATCCATGTTTGCATATATTGTTGGATTTCAACCTTTGTATTTCCAGATTTTTGGATGGATTGAGGCTCAATAAATCCGTATACTTCGGATTTTTGTTGTTCCACACTCAATTTGTCCATGTACCTAAAACAATTAATTATAAGTTGAATATAATTATTATAATCTTAGAAACATAAATGAGAATGACTTACATTGCCCACAATTGTATGATGGAAATGTTTAACATGCAATTTCCCCCAGCAATTTCTAAAGCATCGGGCAAGGAAATGTATAATGGAATACTGGAACTGTCAATTCCAAACACTCTAACATCCCATTGTATCTGACACGGTCTCTTCCTCAACCGTGGTAATATGGTCAACAATATAGAGATGGGATCATCATCACATTCTGTCATATCCTCATCAATAATAAGTTGTTTTTTATGCTTACCACGACGTAAGGCCTCCTAAACAAATGATAACAATGAATTAAACATTTATATAATTATAATAGTAGAAAAGAGAAAATAGACAATATATATATATATATATATATATATATTACCTTGGTCTGTGCTGATAGTGGCATAACCAAACGTCTTGGCCAAGCCAAGAATGTCCCGCTTGCCTGCCCCACTAATTGAATCTCTTCATTAGGAAAAGGCACTGGAGCATTAGCATCATGAACTTCATCAACTACTACTCGTGTCCAGTCTGCCTGTAGAGGGACACCATGGATGGTTAAGCCACCCTCAAAAACTCGACCAATAGCCACTAGACGCGGGGGGTCATCTTCAACATATAACTCACACTGGTGTGATGCATCAGTCTGAGTATATTCTCCTGAAGGATCAGCAGTAGTAGCAGCACAACTCCCTTTAGTGCTGACTCGAACAACATCATGTTCAATTGTTTGAGGTGTTCCTTGAGTCTGTTGCTGAGAGCGGGCGAGAGATTCAATTTTTTCATCAAACTCTTGCTGCAAGGACTGCCTTATTTGATTTAACTTTTCTTCAAACTGCATCTCCATTTTATGCAAGGCCTCCTGGCTGCAAGAGTCAGTAGTGGTCCTTCGTGATGTTGGACCAAAGTAATCACGAAGGCCCCAGGATCCACCAGCACCACGCACACGTCCTGAGTAATCTGGTTTTCCTATGGTTGTCGCCAATATATCTTGTCGACCATGAGGAATAAATGATCCTTGGGTGCTCTGCTCAACTAAATCATCCTACAACACATTAACAATAATTAAGTCATACACTAACTTTCACATTAGAATCAATTCAAATAGACATTATAACTTACGATTTTCTGAGCAATGATTCGTGCAGAATCAGAAGTCATCTGTCCATCAGATTTTGTCCGGGTTGCCTTCCACATCTCATAGCGAGGGGGTGGAGATGCAATGTCAGTAGACTCAACTCCTGCTGACTCTTGTCTGGCTTTCATGAGACGTTGCTCCAATAATGCATACCCTCCTCGTGACAATACATGGGGTGTATATTCAACCTCTGACGTTGTTGGGCAGCACATCTTTTATCCTGCCAAGAGGGGTCCATTCGGCTGGCACAAAACTGTAACCAATCCTCCTCACTAATTTGATACTTTAGACAGAGAGATTCATCTTGAAAATTTCCAAATACATACTCCCGTGTCAAGAAAGTCTTAAAGTCCCTCCATTTAATGGCAATGGAGGATAAAATCTTCTTCCTCATCACCTCAGTGTTAGGAACATCAAAATTTTGCTGTGAAATGACCAATAAATGTTAAATTCAATTAATAATGATATATAAAGTATTCAACAAATATAGAAATACCTGAACATCCTGTCACATGAGGTTCTTCTCATTTTCCTCTACATCATCCCAAGATGGAGTAGTAATCGGAACATGGTGTCGAGCAAGTAGTCCCAAATAGCTCTTAAACTTAGCAGCATTTGGGTCAGATGCCTTACCAGAACGTGGATCAACTTCAACTTGAGTTTTCTCTCTAGCTACCCTCCTTGCTGTCAACCCCTTTAACCGAGTGACAGATCTACCTTTACCTCCACTTCCGCTCCTGCCACTGCCACTACCAATACCAATACCAAATGTGGAATCCGACATATCCTGAAAAACAAAACAATATGAAGTCAACATACTTTATAAGTTTGAATAAAAAGAACTAAAAAATGTCAAGATAAACACCTATTATGATGGTATGTTTTCCCATATCCCTTCATCATGATCACTTCGAATTGCATGTATGTCATCAACTTCATTGTCAACTATGTCATCAAATGGTCTACTTGAAAATGAGGTGTTTCATGTATATCTAGAGACTCATCTTCATGAATTCCGTGCATGCTTCTTCCTTCAAGGACAATTGACCATCTCTCATTACATGGATCCTTGACATAAAATATTTGTCTCGCTTGATATGCCAAAATAAAAGGTTCATCCTTATACCCAACTTTACTCAAATCAACCAAAGTAAATCCTAGGTCATCTGTTCGCACGCCCGTATTCCCTTCAACCCATTTACACTTGAAGACAGGCACCCTAAAAGTAACATAATCAATTTCCCATATCTCTTGTATGACCCCAAAATAACTCATAGAAGCTGTGATATGATTTTTGTCTTTAGAACTAGAAAAATGCATAGATTCAGCTTGAATTGTGACCCCACTATTTTGTACTCTACCTTTATCATCTTCTATTTTTGAGTAGAAACAATAATTATTAATGTCATACCCACCAAATGTAATGACATCACTATTAGGCCCACGAGCAAGTCTCAAAAGTGTTTTTGAAACATTAATCTCAACATATACCCTTTTTTTAAACCAAGAAAGGAAACTTTTGTTATGTTCATTCAATACCCATTTTTCATTCATTCGTGGATGTGTTGCCTTTACTTCAGTTATGTGTTGTGATATGTAAGGGATTACTTCATCAGTGTTGTTCAATATGTATAAATGTGCTTGGTCAACTTCTTTCCGACTAACATTTTTAATCTTTAAATTTCGAGTACCCTTACCTTCACATCTTCCATCATGTCTCATCTTAGGAATACCTATTGGTT